GTTTTTCTGCTAAGCACTCAGTGAACAACAGTCACAAGTGAGCAATGTGGAGAGGAGGGCACAGGAGCAATACACAGCTCAAACATCACCTGCCTTTGCAATCACCTCAGGCACTCACTGCCACTCTGCTCTGCGAGCTGGGCCGGTCTGTGTGGAAGTCCAGGATGTCTCTCATCTCTCTGCTCCACCTCCTCACCAGGCACAGCTGACCTGCCTCTCACATGGTCATTTTTTCAGCCCAGGGCAGCTGTGGTTGCCCCTGGATCCCTGGAAGTGTCCAAGGCCAGGCTGGACAGGGCTTGGAGCAACCTGGGATAGTGGAAGGTGTCCCTGCCATGGCAGGGGTTTGGACAAGATAGTTTTTAGGGCTCCTTCCACACCAAACTACCCTGGGATTCTATGATTCTATTTTTATTTATTTATTTATTTTTATCACACTGAACTACAGACACTGCCAGGAATCTTCTGTCTGTTTGCTGATCCTTTCTGAAATCAGGTACGAGAGCACATGGCTCATAGCAGTGTCAGAACAGAACCCAATAAAATCCAGCAAGGAGAGAGTGAGATTTCATTGGCACCAGAGGGATCGTGGCAGGGTGAGCACGACCTCGCTGTCACCATAAGCATCACACCAGAGCCTCCAGCACTGGCTGCACACAGGAGATAACAGGCTGCACCCAGCAGCCTTGGGGAGGTCCCTGCACACCTAGGAATGAGACCAAACCATTGGAATAATGCACAGATGGGTTCTACCAAGGTCCTACCTTGTCTCCAGCTCACCTGACACCCAAAACCCAGACCAGGATAATCACATTCCATGGACTGGTGCTGCTCTGGGGTGAGGCAGTTTCTGTACTCCCCAACATCACTGCAGTGACCACCAGGGACAGGAGGCATTTCTGGGTTAATCATTATTCATTGGAATAGGAAAACCTGGACAGGCACCTGTCAGCTGGTGCCAGCGCAGGTGCTGTTAGTGACTCCAGTCAGCACCAGGTGTGACAAGGTCTGTGCCACACAGTGAGTTCCTCCCCTCACTGCCTCCCTTCCCAGGCTCTGCTATCCCAATTCACCTTGTCTCTGTCACCATCACTTTGTAAGGCAGTAATTTCCTCTGCTCAACTCATCTGAAGAACTCCCAAGACAAACAGAGTCTAAGTGTTTCCTGCAGGGCACAGACATTTCATATCAGAATCACTGCCTGGAAAAATACCATACACAAATTATAATAATTAAAAAATAAATTAGTGCATGAGAGTACAGAGTAAAATTAATTAGTGCAGAGGCTGAAAAGCAACACAACCTTGAGTCACCTACTTGAAACCTGCAGGAACTACAGTGAGCAGAAGTGTCAGGGCAGCTGGGGCAGCACCAGGCAATGCCAGGGGCTGCTCTCCTCCCCCTCCACTGCACAAAACAAGTGACTCCTCCACCATGCTCAGAGAGCAAAACATTATTTCAGAGCAGCAGAGGGGTCAGGGTAGAGACCTCAAACCAAGCTGGGTCAGCATATGGAACCCTGGGCACTGCTGGCTCCTCTTCAGGGCAGCAGGATCTTTGCCATAACAGCACAAAATGAGTGGGCAATGCCAGAACGACTGGCCTAGATACAGAGAACTTGCAATTCCCATGGGGAAAAGAGAAGAGCAGAATTCCCTCAGAGTGTCGCTGCAATCTGCACTGCACAGCCACCAGAGAGTGACTCAGCCCTGGTGACCTCTTTTAATGCTCCATAAGGTTAATGCTGAGTTTAGCAGGGTTAATTCTGCCTTTAATGACCAGTTTTCAGTGAAGACAAGGAGATCAGCACAGTCTGTAACTCAGTCATGTCTCACTTCTCCTCCCCTGGCAAGTGAGCTGCAGAGGTCCCATCCCTGCTCCTGCTGCCCATCTCAGGAGCCAGCTGGGCACAAAACCAAAACAGTCCCTTGGCCATCACCAAGTGACCCCAAACAACATGCCCAAGGTATCAGAGCATGGTCCCAGCCTGGTCACTGTCTCTGTCACAGCTGGAGTGACAGGGGCAAGGCGGGGTATCCGTGAGAGACAGATGTCAAAAGCAATCAGACTGTCTCTCCCTGTCTCCAAAGCAGGAATGCTGATAGCACTACAGGCCTTGGAGGAGTTAAAAGGAAAGGCTTATTAGGAAGAAAACTTGTTCTGACAGTCACAAAAATTGGAATGCATTTAAAATTCAAATTATGCAAATTCCAGTAATCTGTACGTGCAGATCCATCACACAGCAGAGTGGGACCACAGACACACGGCACCAGTGACATGGCTGGAGAAATCCCACCCTCCCCAGTGCCCTGGGAGCAAGGGAGGTCTGCTGGCCTCTGGCAGGCACGGGAAGAGCAGCTGCTCCAGGACAGTGGGGCCAGGCAGGATTTGCAGGTGCTCCCTCTGCACTGAAAGATGCTTCAGCAGCCCTGGCAGCACCCAGCATGTCACAGCCAGACTCCAGTGTTCTCACACAAATTATAGCAAATTCTCCCTTGGACAAGCTCAGGTGCCCATGACCAGCCCAAAGCCTTCGTTAGGCAGCACCTGATCACATGGATGTCAGGTGGCCACACATGGATGTCAGGTGGCCACACAGCACTGGATGCATGTGGGCAACAGCTCTGCCCCATCACCACCCACCCTGCCACTGGAGGATCCCACACAAAACTTCAAGAGCCTCTCCTCTCTCTCAGCAGTTCCCAAAATTCTGTTTTTGGGGAAATTTAAAACCAAGCCAAGCAGCTTCATCACACAGCAAAGGTGGCTCAGACTGTCAGCATGAAAAGAACAAAAACAGAAATGGACGTTACAGGCTGGGGAAGTGTAACAGCCCAGAAAAATGAATCCTGCTTCTTCCTAAAAGATGAGCCACCGTGATAAGGCAAATCATGCTCTCTCCTGTACGTGCTGTGCCAGGCATAAGGAGAGAAGATCCCACCCGGCAGTGATCCCTCCCCCACCCAGGGCTGGGCAGAACCGCTGCCATGCAGGGCCAGGGCACAACACAAGCCCAGGGGGAGCTGCAACACCTCCAGCACAGAGATGGAAAGTAACTAATCCAGCCTTGGGAGGACACAGAGCCCAGAACTGTTCTTAGAAATCATTTCCCCAGCTTGGCAGGATCTGTACTTTGAATTTACAAAGCAGGCTCTGGGGCTGTGTCAGGAATGCTGGTCCTGTAATGGCCCAAGCCTCAGCCAAGCACTGCCAGTTCATCTTCCTCCACACTTTCTGCCTCTACTGAAGGGCCTTCTGGAAGCCCTTTCCAAGTAGGACGAGTCTGCTTTTCTCAGCAGGTCTCACAAGATTGGAGCCCATGGCTGGGTTTACAGCAACAACTTTTACATTGGAACAACCCAGAAATGATTTAGCAAGGAAAAAACAATGCCACATCCAACAGAAAGCCTTCTCTGTTACTTGACAGACAGTCAGCTCTGTGGGTACACCAAGGAAAGCTAAAGGTTCCCAAAACCTGAGAAAGTCAAAGGCCAAATCATACTGGCCACAGAGAGCACAGAGAGGTGCTGGCACGACACTGAGCAGGGAGGGACAGGGGGCTGCCCCACAGGAAGGGCAGAACCCAGTTCTCTGCAGGTACCAGGACACTGTGCTTCAAACCCAAGTGCTTCTACACCTTTTGTGCCCATCTCCCAGCACAGAGGCTTTGGGGAACAGGTCCCACAGAGAAACTGGAAAAACATCCCTGAAAGACAACAGTCCCCAGCACCTCAGTGCCCTCCTGTGCCTCCTGGGTACAGCTTGGAGCCACAGATCCAGGCAGAAAGAAAGAGCAGACAGAATCACAGAATGACTAGGCTGGAAGAGACCTTCAAGTCCAGCCCATGACAATTCCTTACCCCACAGCAAGGCCGCCTCATCTTAAACATCTCCAACGTCTTTCAGCTGCTCATCAGGTTCTTCATCCTGCTTGTGCTCATCTCCATCCCTGAGGTTTCAAGTGCTTTCTGAGCCTGAGGCAGCAGTTCCCATGGAGAAGGTTCACAGGCAGTGCTGTGAGCAGCTCCCACAGGGTCACCCACAGCACCCACACGGCGAGACCGGAGCTGCCCTCCCAGGGCAAAGGCAGATGCCTACACCCAACAGTGCAAGCACAAGCAGGGAGGGTGAGACCCCAGAGCCACACTGCTTAGCTGTGGCACAGGTACAGCACGAGAAGCCCCCACTGCATGTGACCCCAGAGGGACCAGCCCTTCTTCTGGGGCAGAGGAAGTCTGTGCTTCCCAGCAGATGTGTCTGTGCACAGCCTGGGGCAGGGTGAGCTGTGCTGCCTCAGCCCATTCCCTGCTCCATTCCCATTGTACCGACTCTCTCAGCCATTGCAAATCAACACCGAGTGCTTCTCATCACCCTGACACCTGAGCCCTCATTACAACCCCGAGCCGGTAACAAGGCAGGGGAAGGACACCCGAACCCCAGAGCTGGGTGTCTCTGGGAAAGAGGCAGAGCCCATTAAACATTGATCAGAGGCTCCCACAGCTGCGGTGCAGCCCTGACGCATCCCTGCTGTCCTGCCACCAGGAGCTCCCAAGGGCCAGGAAGATCTGAGCTGCCCCAGGGACCCGGGGCTGGCTCGTTGTTGCCCCAGCCCCTCGCCGCTGGCCCAGCAAACCTTAGGGAAGGTGCAGTTCCTCGCCAACACAAAGCTGAGGACAGGAAAACCCATTTCCTACTTTCAAGCCTTGTTCCACTCTTTGGACAGCAGTGCCCAGAGTCCAGGCCCTTCACCTGGCTGAGCACCAGCTGCCCTGAGGCAGTGGGAGCCCATGGGGAGCCGGGGGGACTGGACCCCCCAGGAGAGGGGCTCTGTCACAGGCTGGGCAAAGTCGAGCTGCCACCACTGTCTGCTGCCCCACTCTGAAACAGCCTCTCTTTCTGTTGTTTTACAAATGTTGAGCACAAAAACAGCTCTCCAAAACGTCAGTGTTTTTGGGAAGTCTGGTGTGTGTGAGTGTGGGGGGCCAGAGCCCGATACTCACAAACTGCCGCCGCAGCTTGGTCCTGACGCGCTCGGCCTTGCTCTCGGCCGGGTGCACGGCGTAGCTCAGGGAGCCCAGGTGGTTGTCCACAGACAAGCTCTTCCTCATGTAGAAGGAGCGGGTGCGGAAGTAGCTGAACGGGGCGTCCTCCACCGCCGTGCCCAGCCGGGGGGCCCCGGGGGGCTCCGAGCAGTCATCCTCCAGCCGCCAGGCCTCCCCTGCGGAGGAGAAGGAGATGCCTCCCCATCAGAGCACGACCCAGACATGTCCTCCCCCTTGAGCCAGCTCTGGGGATGTTCAGCGGGCATCCCTGGACCTCCTCTGGCTAGTGCCAAAATCCCTAGGTACCCCCTGCCCCAGGCAACAGCCCCTGCACCCAACCTGCCCACCCCAGGTACCCACAGTCCCCACCATCTCCCTGGCAGGAATCAGCCAAAAACAGAATCATGGAATGCTTTTTGTTGGAAGGAAGCTTGAAGCTCATCTCGTTCCAACTCCCTGCCATGGGCAGGGACACCTTCCACTTCATCAGGTTGCTCCAAGCTCTGTCCAACCTGGCCTTGAAGTCTTGCTTTGTGAATGGGAAAAATGAGGCGTCACAAGTGTTACAAATTACAAAAGTATTTACTGCCATCTCCTCCTGCAGGAAGACAAAACCCAACAAAACTCTTTATGGCACAGCCAGGAGCAAATCAACAGCCCCATGAAGGACAGAAGCCAGACCTCCCTTCTCCACCCGCCCGTCGCCAGCAGCAACAGGATGCAGCAGTGCAGGGCTGAGAGCCCCAGGGACAAACCTCACTAGCACTGAGACAGTGGTGGCAGTGGCAGATGACAGTTGGCACCATGCAGGGCTGCTGATCCCAGGGCAGGACTGGCCACATTTCATTGCAACAAAAGGGAAAAACAAGAGAACAACAGGAGATGTTTCCAGAATACCACTGCTGCGCTCTTTTCCCTTCAGCTCAGATTGTTGCCTGCTTTTTGTTGTCAATCTCCTCTTTACATCTGGAGCTTGCCCTGCCTCCTCCCCTCAGCCAAAATCACTCCTTAAGCCATGACAAACAATCAGTAAAAGCCTCTTCTCAATTATTATCCCAAAAGGGCATCTCACAGGACTGCCTTCAGGGGCTCTCCCCCTCCTGCAGCCTTTTACCAAGGCAACCTCCTTTGCCTCTCACTTCTGCAAAACCCTTTGAGCATGAATGACCATGATCCAACTACACCAGGGCTGAGGAGCAAAACACTGCTGGGGTTTAAAGCAGATAGTGGCCCTAAGCCCCAGTTCAGCAGTGCAGCCCAGTTTACCCAGCAGGGCTGGGGGGTTTACATGGAATATGATGAGACACAGGCAGGACTACAAGCCACCAGAGGAGGAACCACCTACACACACTGCCAGAGGGCAGGGCTAGATGGGATATTGGGAAGGAATTGTTCCCTTTGAGGGTGGGCAGGCCCTGGCAAAGGGTGCCCTGAGAAGCTGTGGCTGCCCCTGGATCCCTGGACGTGTCCAAGGATCCAGTGTCCTGACCAAGGCCAGGCTGGACAGAGCTTGGAGCAGCCTGGGCTAGCGGGAGGTGTCTCTGCTCATGACAGGGGGTGGAACCAGATTATCTTGAAGGTCCCTTCCAACCCAAACCCAAACCATTCCACGAAAGAGGCAACCCAGAGCACAGCACTCCAAGCATCGTGTAGATTTTTCCTCCCCTACTTTCAATTTAATAAGCTGCTGCTGCTCGTCTCCAAATGTCACCTCACACAACACAGGAAGTGCTGTTTGAAAGCTGTGATTATTCCATGCACAAACACGTCAATCGGAGGCAGATGCTGACTGCCATTGTGAGACAGCATGGCTCTGGGAGCGCAGCAGGGTGCACTGACACAGGAGACACGGGACACGCTGGGGAACCGCACACAAAAGGAGGAACCTGCCCCCGTGCCCACCTGAGACGGCCCAGCCACTGCCTGTGCCACCTGTGTCCTCAGGACTGTCCCCTCCCAGCTCACCCAGACACAGCCCCCACTGCTCTGCTGCCCTGAGCAAGGGAGAGCCAGGGCCAAATGCTCAAAGAGGGAAAGGATTCAGCTGCTGTACCCGCTCCTCTGTGCACAGCACCTCACCCAAGGATGAGGAGCTGGGTTTAAAATCCTACAGAGCAGCTGGGCCACATCTGCTCTCACTGACCCCAGTTCCCCAAGGATTTTGCTGCTTTTGGTCTCATCTCTCACCTACAGGAGCTGCTCCATGACCTGCCCAAGGGGTGATCCTCACCAAACTGGGTCCTTCCTCTCTGAGCACAGGGAGCCACCACAGGACCTTGTCTACCCCAAAATGATTTTCTACCTGCTGAAGGAGCTTGTCCTGATTTGATTGTCACCAAACAAGTAGCTTTGATCAAGCCCAGAACAGTCAGAAAGGGAAGATCAATAAGTCAGAGAATCACAGACTGGTTTGGATTGGAAGGGAACAAGAAGCTCGTCTCATTGCAACCCCTGCCACAGGCAGGGATGTCACTCACTAGATCAGGTTAGATCCAGCCTAGAGAGGAAATGCCAGGAACAGGAGCAAGCCCACAGACTGGAAGCCAATGATGTTCATGTTCTTGTGTCTTGGAGCTGCTCACCTCTCTGCCACTCAGAGCTGCACTCTCAACATCAGCACCTCTGCAAGATCTGACCATTTCCTTGGGCTTGACAATAGCAATTCCTGCAACAGCTTTCTTCTTTCTGAATTTGAGGTGTCAGGGAGGACACACATCAAAGGATACAGGGGACAGCAAGGACAGAGACCGAGTGCCTCTCCAGTATATCCTCTACAAGCAGAAGAAAAATTAATTCCAGGGTCCTGGTCTAAGCTCAAATCCAGCTGCTTCCTTGTGGCTTCTTTCTTTTCCTCCCATGGACACAATTCCCATGCTACCAGTTAACTTCTTCCCAGATCCACAGCAGGGCATGGAGCCAGTTCCTGAAGAGCTCTGCATGTTGCCTGACAGACAAGGGAGAAAGGAGGTGGGGAAGTGCTCCAGACTGGTCTGCTCTTTCCAGGTGCAAGAGGAGAGAACTGCAAGGGACCAGGCATGTAAACCATGCAGGGACTTGGTGCAGGCTGCAGCTGAGGGCTGCAGGTGGTCAAAGGCTGAGGAGAAGCCCCTCCCTGATGTAGAAGGAAGAGGAGAGAGCAAAGGAGGGCTTTTCCTCAGTCCCACTCCTAAATCTTCACAGGGCAACAAAGAGAAGTGACAGGCAGCCCATTGCAGCACATGTGAGACCTCCTGGCAGAGTGCAGTGTGGCACCCAAGGGATAATGGCTTGGACAAGGCAGGCACTGTCCCTGTTCAATCAAATCCATTTGTGCTTGTCTTCCCTTCTCTAAATTCCAGGCAGGTAGCCATAAGGATTTGGGCTTAATCCTGGAGCAGCTCCAGGCAAGGGGTTGAAGGATATGGGATGGAGAAGAAGAGCTCATATAGCCTGTCCCAGCTGACCACACCAGCACTGTAATGGATGACCTGCAAGGGAAAAACAAAACCAGACCAGCAGGAAACCCAGACCTGCTGACCAGCCCAGCCAGTTCCTGAGCTCATGGAATGAGGTGGAAGGCTGTTTTGAAGGAAAAGAAGGGGTCTGGGAGGCTCAGCAGCCACAGGCTCAGCTCTTCTGATCATCTTCAGGACCCCAGCTCCCTACCAGGCACCTTGGTGCCCTCACAAGGACCTGCAGAGGAGCTGTGGTGCCACAGCAGGAGAACCTCCCGTGGCCTCCCATCAAATGTCAGGGCACATCCATCCTCCAGTGCTGCCACCCTGGAACCATGGGAATCAAAGGAAAAGGCTGAGGAACACATCCCAGTGGTGAGATGACAATGTCACATCTCATCCATGCCAAAGATAATCACTTCTGCCATCTTGCTTGGTGATTCCTCTACTCATGGCCCTAAACCAGCTGCAAGCCAGAGTGCAGTTCCTCCCCCAAAGAGCCATGAACTCTCCCTGAAGATGAGCTCACCACCTCTCCCAAGGACAGCCCTGCTCCTGCCATGTCCCTGTGCATGAGCCTCTTCCTGAGCTGGTTTTGGTCATGTGTCACCTCACCCTGAATGGGGACTGGTGGTACCTGCTCACAGCAAATTCACCACTTCTTTAGGGAAAGGACCTTATCCAAGAATGATGGAACAGACTGGATTGGAAGGGACCTTAAAGTTCATCTCACTCCAGCCCCTGCCATGGGCAGGGACACCTTCCACTGTCCCAGGCTGCTCCAAGCCCTGTCCAGCCTGGCCTTGGACACTTCCAGGGATCCAGGGGCAGCCACAGCTTTCTGTGCAACCTGTCCCAACTTCTCTCCATCCTGATACCCAGCAGCCCAGCTCTTATTCATAAATCCTTATGGGAATCCTGCATTCCTCGTCAGCATCCCAGAGCTCGTTAACCTGCAGCACCACGTGCTGCTCCATTCCCATCAGGTTGTCCAAATATCTCATCCTGCCAGCAGTGCCATCTCTTCTTTTTCTCCTCCAGGACAGCATCTTCATGGCCTTCATGAGCAACTAATTAGCAGATCCTAATTGAGCCAGGAAAAGATTGTGGGAGAGTCTGGACAGAAAACAACACATTCATTCATCCACTGCTCTGGCTGTGGAGAGCCCTCCAGTTTCCAAGGGTCTTCCTACTCCTTCTCCTCTTGGCATCCCCAGCCCCTTCCAGCCAAGAGTAAAGAAAGATTTTAAACACTTCTTATGTGCTCTGAGTTTTGGTGACTCCCACTGTGCAGGGGGAGCTGTGCACAGAGTTTGCTCCAGGACAGTGTTCATGTCTGCACTCCCAGGACAGGAGATGTCTGCAGCTGAAGGTGAGCTGTTTGCAGTGACTCACATGGCAACATCACCCCACAGTCTTACACCAGCCTCCCACTCCCTTCCTTCAGCTCCAGCACAGCTCCCTGGAAGCACCATCAGAGCAATGGGGACCTTGCTCTGTCCAAGGTGTGCAGGGGAGCTCTGGATGCCGTGTCCTTCATGGTGGAGGCTACACAGCTTTCCCACAGGTTTCCTCCCATTCCAAGACCTACTCTAACAATGTGAAGGGCTGAAGGAAAACCCACAGGTCCTACATATGGAAGCAGTGGCTCAGGTGCTGCAGGACACCCAGGAGCTCTGTCACGACAAGAGTGGCAGGACGGGCTCAGCGATGTGCAAAGATCTGCTCTGTGCAGGGGAATTAGTAGCACCAGGAAATGAAATGCAGCCTGCAAAGCATCAAAATTAATCCACAGTTTGGACAGCTGCTCTGCTGAGCAACACAGGGATCTGACTGTGAGATGGATAATTTAAAAAAAAACCATAAAAATAAAAAAAAATCCAAGGGTGCTGTTTGAAGGTAGATGTTTTATAAGGATTTTATTCAGCACTGGACTGTCAGCCCTGGCTTCCAGACTTTATCTTTGTTTCAGTGTTAATAATCCTCTATCCCATCACTTTTATAGTCCCAGCGTGATTCTGCTGGCACCAAAAGCACTGAAACACTTTGGCCATCAGCAGCTTTGCCAATAAACTTGCTCAGAGCAGCTGGCCCAGCCATATTAGTATTTCATCAGGATCAGCATGAGAGTAGAAGAACATGACAAAAATCCTCAGGGCTGACCCAGAGGCCAACACACAGTATTAGGCTGGGAGCATTTACAAATCTCCGAGGCCAGGGCTGTGGGAAGAGCACAGAGATGATTTCCTGCACTGCTCCTGGTGGAGACCAGCTACAAGTGCCCTGAAGCTGCTTTGTGACATAGAAAAGAGGCACCTGGGCCTGTTGCATTGGCCAAGGAGGCCCCAGGGTGATATCTCACCCCAGCACCCTTAGGCAGAAGGCTCCAAGCATCACCTCCCCACTTTGGGTGGCTTCCAACAACCAACTCTTCTTTTTCACCAGTGTAATATGAAAGATGGGGAGGTTTAAGTATCGAGCTCAAAGAAAGACTCAACCAGGGGCAAAAACCCCAAAAGTTCCCCAAGAAGGGTTATTTTCAGAGCAGAATAAACTCCACTGTGGGCCAGAGCTGGGTTTGTGCCCCTGGAGAAGCAGGAAAGCTTTGCTGGGATCCTGCAGACACAGAGGGGTGTGTGCTCACCCCGGCACTCACCGGCAGAAGGGACCGTGCAGCCTTTCTGGTGCTCAGAGCCCGAGTGCTTCTTGTAGGGCTTCTGCTCCGGCATCTCGTCCCTGTAGGCTGTGGGCTCCAGCAGGGGCAGCCGGCTCAGCACCGGCGACTGCGGAATGCTGGGCAGCGTCTGAGACTTGCCCAGGAGCGGCCGCTGCAGCTTCCTGTCCAGAGACCTGCAGGGACAGCACAGGACAGGGCTGTCAGGAGCAGGGACAGCACAGGACAGGGCTTTGAGCAGCTGGGACAGCACAGGACAGGGCTTTGAGCAGCTGGGACAGCACAGGACAGGGCTGTCAGGAGCAGGGACAGCACAGGACAGGGCTGTCAGGAGCAGGGAGGAGTCCCTCAGGCCAGGACCCCTCTGTGACACACACACACACACACCCTGGCTGAGCATGGTGCCCTTCATGGCATCATGGAATTGTTCAGGTTGCAAAAGCCCTCTAGATCATTAAGTCCAACCATTACCCTAGCACTAAATCATGTCCCTAAGTGCCAAATCCACAGGTCTTTTCAACACTTTCAGGAATAGTGACTCCACCACTGCCCTGGGCATCCTGTTCTAATACCCTAACACTTTCCCATGAAGAAATTTTACCCAATATCCAATCTAACCCTCCCCTGGCCCAGCCTGAGGCCGTTCCCTCTCCTCCTGTCCATGTTCCCTGGGATCAGAGCCCAACTCCCCCCGGCTGTCCCCTCCTGTCAGGGAGTTGTGCAGAGCCAGAAGGGCCCCCTGAGCCTCCTTTTCTCCAGGCTGAGCCCCTTTCCCAGCTCCCTCAGCTGCTCCTGCTGCTCCAGCCCCTTCCCAGCTCTGTTCCCTTCCCTGGACATGCTCCAGCTCCTCGATGTCCTTCCTGTCATGAGGGGCCCAGGACTGTCCCCAGGACTGGAGGTGTCTCAGCAGTGCCCAGCACAGGGGATGGTCACTGCCCTGAGCCTGTGGCCACACTGTGGCTGGTCCAGGCCAGGTGCCATTGGCCTCTTGCCCACCTGGGCACACCTGGCTCAGCACCACACTGCACCCTCTGTTAGCAGAGCTGCTGCTGTGCCAGTGAAGCCTTCTCCCCTGGCCAGGAGGGGGATTTGCATCGTGAGCTATAAGGCACAACCAGCACAAAAAGAATTCAAACCCCCAGCCCATCTCAAAACTCCAAGATAATGTGAATTAACCAAATAAAGACAGATCAAGACTGAAGGGATAACAATTTCATTTGAGACAATGAAACCGCCATTAAACATCATCCACAACACCAGAAAGGCATTTGAGGTAGAAAACAGATCACTGGTCAGATCCTAGGGAAGGTCCAGACTCCAGAAAGCCCAGCTCACACAGCAGGGACTGCAGAGTCCACAGGGTGTCATGGAACACGTAGAAACATAAATTCAGTGTCTCTGTGAGGTCAAAACTAAACTGAGTTTGATGATTGGGCTCCAAATCTGCAGGGGTGACCAGGACACGCATCCATGTTGTCAGCATGACCATACACCTCTTTCCAAAGCCCAGAGGCAGACCTGGCCTGCAGGGACATGAGAGCATGGCCCCCTCCTCCAGCCCAGAGCCAAGGGACAGTCCCCAGGTGCCCCCCTCAGGGATGACACTGGCCCAGGCCATGCTCCAAGGACCCCAGAAATGCAATAAAATGGAGCAGAACCCAGCACTGTTGTGGGGTGTCCTGTGCTGACACCCCAAGGCTGTCCTTTGTCCCAAACGAGCTCCCTGGCACACTCCAAGGATGTTCCAAAATCACAGAACCACTGAATGCTTTGGGTTGGAAAGGACATTAAAGATCATATTCCAACCCCCTGCCATGGGCAAATCTCATAATGAATGGTACAGATCCTTCAAATTTCTATCTAAAATTCAATTCTCCACTGCTTATGCTCATTTGTTCTTCTGCCAATATTAACCTTTAGCTTAAATAATTATCCCCCCTCTATGGTGTTTGCTCCCATGATTAATTCCCATTACAATGAAGTCTCAGCCCCTTTCAGCATTTTTAAAGGCTGATTAACACAAGTTCTTTCAGTCTCCTCTCACAAAATTAGCTTTCATTTCATTTCCCCTCACTGACCTCCCTCTATCTTGGACTAAACTTTCTCCGCCCATCCAGGAACATCATAAATCCCAGGATGGTTTAGGTTGGAGGGAACCTTAAAGCTCATCTCGTTCCAGCCCCTGCCATGGGCAGGGACGCCTTCCACCATCCCAGGCTCCTCCAAACCCCGTTCACCCTGGCCTTGGACACTTCCAGGGATCCAGGGGCAGCCACAGCTTCTCTGGGCACCCTGTGCCAGGGCCTGCCCACCCTCCCAGGGAACAATTCCTTCCCAATATCCCATCCATCCCTGCCCTCTGGCACAGGGAGCCATTCCCTGTGTCCTGTCCCTCCATCCCTTGTCCCAAGTCCCTCTGCAGCTCTCCTGGAGCCCCTTTAGGCCCTGGAAGGGGCTCTGAGGTGTCCCTGGAGCCTTCTCCTCTCCAGGTGAGCACCCCCAGCTGTCCCAGCCTGGCTCCAGAGCAAAGGGGCTCCAGCCCGGTGATCATGCAGACCTGAGCTCCTGGCACAGACAGCAGGGCAAGCTCTTTGTCTCCCTGCACCTTCCACCACTAAGTTTTATCCTATTTCATGCTCCAGTGCTCAGGGTCACACAGGCAGAGTCTATCATGACAAAGCTCCTGCCCCCCAGTGCTCGCCGTCACGGTGATGTTTGTCACGGTGGCTCTTCACTCCCATTCCAGACGTGGCAGCAGCTCCCCAGTGGTGCCAGTCTGATGTCACCCAGGAGAGCAGACACAGGGCCAGAGCAGTGCCACAGCAGCCACCTCCCAGGGCCAGTGACACCAAGCCCCAGTGGACACGGCCACGGGCAGCAGCTGGGGCAGAGGGCAGGAGCAGGCAGCCCCTGCCAGCCCCACATGGCACAGCCCTCATGGCAGGGATTATTAATGCCACATGCTGACATTAGGCCAGAGGTTCATGGGTACAAATCAATCCCATTCTGTCTCAATCCCCAGGTACTGCTCTGGGGCAGGGACAGCACTGCCCTAGGCTGGGGCAGCAGTGCCACAGCCGTGCCAGGCGCTCAGCACCATCCTGCCCACCCCAGGCCCCCTTCAGTGGGATCAGCATGGAAACAAGCTGTGCCAAGAGATACAAAGCCAGAATTAGCTTCCCTAGCAGTTTCCATTCCAGCAGAACATTTGTACCTCTCATCATAACATATTTCACTGGCACAAGGCAACAGGGATAGAGCTTAACACATCGCTGTGCTGCATAAATGAGTTCAAAACATTCCTTTTTCTGTGCATGTAAATCCCAGGATACCTGTATACAGCTCCATCACCTGCAGAACCCCATTAGCATTTTAGTGCTCCTGTTCCTTTTGTGCTCACAGGGCCACTCACAAGAATCACATGGGGGAAAAAAACAGAAGAATTCACTCTGATAGAGAAGCAATTTTCAAGCTATATATCTTCAGGCAGCGATTTATATTGTCAGAAAAAGCAAAGCAACTAGGAACCTGTTTAGCTCTGAAATCTGAACTCAAATTCTCAAGCACAATTCAGCTCCATGGATTTACTATCCCACCTGTCCTTGTTGAGCCACAGCTGGCACATTAAAACCACACAGGCCCTGCTTCATCCTAATCTCCAGGTGGGCTGGGGAGGAGAATCAGGAAAAGGTAAAATCCATGAGCTGAGAAATAACTGAAATACAGTTGTTGGTGGTGTTTATTATTATTATCATCATTATTGTTGTTATTGTTATTATTGTAATGAAAATGGAGATAAGAAAAAGAGAGAGAGAGGAATATAATCCTAGATAGACAAGTGGTGTCCAATACAGTCTCTCACTACCCAAAAAACCCAGCCTGCTCCTCAGCAGCAATAAGCCTCTCCCAGCCAAACCCCCAGTTTCCATACTGGGTTTGACATTCCATGGTCCACCTCTGTCCTGGCCATGATCCCTCCCAGTTCTTGTCACCTCCCCAGTGGCAGAGCAAGGAAAATGGAAAAGTCCTTGACTTAGGGAGAGCATTTCCCAGCAATATCCAAACCAGCAGTGTGTTATCAACACTGTTTTTATCCCAAATCCAAAACAAAGCTCTGGACCAGCTCTGGGAAGAAAATGAACTCTGTCCCAGCCCAAGCCAGAGCTGGTGCACAGCTCCAGAGGCCTCAGCAGCCACTGGCAGGTGGGACCTGACAGCACTGGGAAGTCAGATTGCATCTCTGTCTGCTTCCCAAGCAGGAGTCCCAGCTGGGTGCTATCAAGGATGCCACATCCCATTAGTTAAGATCCCTGATGGAGTGTAAAGCTCAATTAGAAAAGCCACAATCAATGCTGTTGTAGCCTATATTTAGCTGCCGTTTGGCATTTGGGTAGGAAGGAGAGCACATAATCAAGTCATGAAAAGGGGTGGAAAAATCCTCCTGGCTGGAAGTGAGAGCTCAGGCAGGAGCACAGTGACAGCACCACCACTCCCAGTCCACAGGCAGACAAGAAAATGTGGAACACCATCAGGGCCAGGTCCCTGGGGACAGCCCTGGGGACAGATGTGGGACAGGAGTGACTGTGCCAGGCAGGGGCCAGGGCTGCTCCAGCACCCCCAGCCCGGCCACCCAGCAGCACGGGAAGAAAAGAAGCAGAACTCATCTCCTAAGCTGTGCTGCATTCAGCACCTTGCCCATGGTGATGTCCTTCTCCAACCCAGGAAAGGGAGGGGAAGGGCTCACATAAAGGGAAGGGAGGGAGAAAGAAAAGTTTAATGCAAATGAAAAGGCAGCTCCTGCAGCCCTCCTGCAAGCTGGGAACAAACTGCACACACGTCCAGCCTCCCCTCCCAGCTGGGTTCTGTGTAGGAGAAGCTGCTCTTTGGAGGGCACTTCCAGCCCAACCCAGAGAGTGTGGAGTCTGCACAGCAGGACTGGGGAGGCACCACAGCAGCCCCAGCAGAACCCCAGCAGCACCACAGAGAGCGGCAGGAGGGGAAAATAATCCTAAAGCCACTGCTCTCACAATCCAAAACAGACCCCAGTAAGCCTCACTGATTTCTACGATTTGCCCAAGAACAAAGCAAGGAAACCTCCTGCACGTGTCCTGGAAATGCCCGAGGATGGTGACCCTCCAGAGATGTCCCACTCCCAGGAGTAGGGAAACCTTCATCC